ACGACTCTTGTGGTAGTGTTGGATTTTGCACAACACTGACAGAGATGAAGCAGATAGAAAACAGCCTTACAAAAGTACTGATTTCTCTTTCCCGGAATTGCTGGAATTTATGCACAGCGATAAGTCTCTCACAATTGCTCTGATACCATGTGAGAAGGCACGGAAGAAAATATGTTATTGATATTGGATGAACAATACAAATACAAGAGGTCCTTATTTATAGCTATACTATACAAGGACATACTACTCCTCTACCAATGTGGGACAATACTGCACTATATACATGCTGTAAAACTAACAATAACAAAACTGAAAAACCCTACGGCCAGTAAATTTGGAGAACTAGCCACACCTAAATAAGATGATATAGATTCAGCCCGACTCTGGAACAGGATGGCCTGCCGAATATAAGTTCACAGTTTAATAAGTGCACATCTCAAAAGAACAATGCAATTTTATTAGAGATCATAAATCCTTTATGCAAGGAACACCACTGCATCTTCAAGAAATCTAAGATGATTCAGTTACAAAACAACACACAATAATGTCTAGTGCTCAACTTCTTCATATCTGAAAAACAAACTTGCACTGTAACATATGAACAAATTTGAGCAATCCAGCCTACCTTATAGATGCAACCGATATTATCTCGTCACCCCTTTCCAGAAGTGCAGTGTAGAAGCCACGGAAATTCAGCCGACTTAAATTTGAGCTTCAGAGGAAAGAGAAACATTTCAGATAACTACTCAGTAATGAAAACCAAATGCAAAACGAAGGAAAGAAGAAAAGGACAGTAGGAGGGAAAAGATAAATGATTTATTGTAAAGACAGATTATTAGAGGAGGATTAATGTGTTTCGAGGGTGTGTACAGGGGCAAGATGACATATGGATAGAATGCATTGTGTTGTCCATGAAGTTAAGGAGAAATAAAAGGAACAAGGAAAGAGAAATAAAGAATAGAAAAAATAACTCTAAAATGACATAACTCTCTTCTATATTCCTCTGAGCATCAACCTAGATGAAAAGATGTTAAATTATTAAAAGTGCACTGTCTCCCTTCACAATCAAAATGCTCTGTACTGCTTCGTCCTAGCAGTCGGCCAGACAAACTTAGGAGCACAATCGAAAAAAGGAGTAATCTGTCTCGTAAAGATGAAACTCATTATCTGGAGACCTCGACGAAAAACTACAAAAGCGAATTTCTATAACAAAAAGTTATGCTTTAACTTTTGAAAAACATACACAATGTATATACAGAGTTATATATGTTGCTTTCATGGACCCAATGGAGAAACTGCAACAATAGCTGAAAATAAAATGTGAAGATCATATGCCCAAACCAAATTGGCCAAATCAAATCAGCAGCCAGCTCTTCTTAGGTGAAACAAATAATGAGTACCCATAGATTTTAGATCAGCCAAATTCAAAACCCTTCACAAATTCTAAAAGCTGCATACCCAGTGTTGTAGAGAACATTATGAATAATATTTATCCCACTTCTCCTGTCAACAAAGGGCAAGAAACATTCATCAATAACAGCCACTGCAACAGCTAGCTTAGAATTGCACTCCACCCGTTGAGGAAAGGGGCAACGAGAAATATCTGAGTCCAAATCTGTTCGTTGAATCAGGGACCATGAGAATCCTGCTTCAAGTTCATGTTTGACACCAAGAATATTCTGTAAATGGTCATACAGCTGCATAATCAGAGAAGACAAATAAATCAAGTCATAAACACAAATCCCATGGGAGATCGCAACTCTGATAAGAGGCAGACAAAAAAAGCATATATATAGAATACAGTCTTTCACCATAACTAAAGAAAACGTCTCTCAGATCCAGTGAAAAAGTTTGCAAGAATTTAACTTAAGCTGTAAATCCCTCTATAAAAATTTGATTATACTACTTCGATTCAATAGCCAATTGACTCATTTTTTTGGAAAAGGATCAAAGAGATATATTTGTTTTTCTGAGAATAAATTCAGATGTTCAGAAATTACACGAAAACACTACTTGTTGAAACTTTTAGATTGATGAATATACTTATAACCATAAGACAGACATCATTTTTTTTCTCGAGTTCCGAAATAAGACAACCATTTTAAGACAGCGGGAGTATCAGATGTTAGATAGCATTAGAAATTTTGGGAACACAAAACTATCAAGGAAATATCATACTTCTCAGATCACCATGAGAAAATGATATTACATTGTCCACCAAATCGAAAGGTTCAAAGATCAAGCACGTGCAGGATGTCTTAGAAACCGGCAAGAAATCAAAATACAAGAAGTCAGGAGGGTGAACTTATTAAACTCCTACTGCTCACATTCAATTGATAATTGCAAAGAGCTCCATTTTAAACATTTTTAATCTTGCAGCAACAAGTCAATTATGTCAATCACCAAAAACTCTATAGACTCCACAAGAAAGCATCTTCTAAACATTTTACGACCTTCACTTCCTTCTTTTTCTCTTGAATTTCTTCCTAAGCTTTCAATTCCTAGAATTCATTAATGTGCACTAATCATTGGCGAACTGAAAGATGCCAAAGATCATCACGCTACACACTCCAGCAGGCATTCAAGGAGGAGCAGAGAAGATTTGGCCTTTCAAANCTAGAATTCATTAACGTGCACTAATCATTGGCGAACTGAAAGATGCCAAAGATCATCACGCTACACACTCCAGCAGGCATTCAAGGAGGAGCAGAGAAGATTTGGCCTTTCAAAGCAAATCCTCTAACAAGTACAAGAAAATATCTTTCTACCATCTCCGCTCAACGGTTTTGGACCTGTGAATGATCATGAAAACAGTGCGTAGGAGCTTATGCTGAGTCCTCCTTGGAATTAAAAGTAGAACATAATTTAAAACTGGAGATACTAATTGTGATTCTGAAATAGTTTCCACTATTTGATACCTATACTTCATGATATAATATGCTATACACCACACAAGGAAAAGAATTCACAACCAGGATAAGAGAAATACCTCCTGACATTTCTGCCCACAAAATAATTCAGATGGATTATTGGATATAGCAGATAAAGCATCCGTCTCCAAACTGCATGATTTGTGATCTGCAAAGGGAAATCTAAGAATCCAGCTCCAATGTAGAAGAGTTAATGTCACAAAAACTTCCAAAAAAAGCACACTTTACATTTTTTCTCACAGAGGCTACAAGAAAGAATTTCGTTGACAGTTCTCTCACTATCCTCCTCAGGAAATTTACAAGCAGCCCCACAAAATTTGCAAGTGCAATTTGGACAATGCCAATGGCCTGGAGGAAGCATCTGCACCAAGAGGAAGCATGTAAATGCCCAGCTGCTTAAAAATCAGAAACTTCCTTTATAGGTTCAATTTGGCAAGCATGATAATAAAGATTAAGCAAAACTAGCTCATCCATCATCAGATTCACGTACATGATATAAGTAAATTACTAAAAGCATGTATGTTCAAATAAAAAACTCCATGTTTTGGGCTCGTCAATAAGTCTGGATAGAGATGGAACTTCCCTAAGAGGCCAAAGTGGAACTTCCCTAAGAAACTGACATCCTAATAATTTCTTTCACAAGAAATTAACATCCTAAAAGTACTGTTCATTCTCATGGTAATTGTAATGCATTTTTGTCTTTCCATACTGTGGTTGACACAAATGAATAATTTTAAACAGTTTTTTAGATCGAGGGAAGGGGATAGGATTAATCTGTCAAACAGTTCATTGATCAGTTTAACTGAAAAGTTTTGGTCAGAGGATAGTCAGCTGACAGAGCTAACACTGAAGATCATGATTCATGGGTCAGGAGAATTGCCTAGAGTTAGTTTTATCGTTGATTGCCTTTTGTAACTTGGCTCCTTTCTTTAACTATTTTTTTTTTTTGGGATAAGGTAAAGATAACCCGGCTCCTTTCCAGTTTCTATTGCGTTCCTTAAGGAGTCCATGCGGGGTGGAAGAGGCAGGCTCAAATTTAATGGTTAACTATACATGGACAATGAAGACAATACATTGCTAAGATAGATAGTGCAACCAGAAACGTGCAAATCTGCTCCAAAGAAATATAGAAGGGCATGATGCAAGTCTTCAATAAATCCGTTCCCTTGCTTCTCTATATTTCTTTGGAGCAGATTGGCACTTTTAAGGTTGCACTATCCATCATGCATCAAAGGAAAACTATGACAGTATGGAGTAACAGTGATAGATATAAAATAGCAGTGAGATAAAGAGAGAATATTCTGATTGATACATACTTGTATGCCCAGACAGCTCTGATGAAAAGTTGATGGACAACCATCACAACAGATTAGGTCCCCACCATCACCACAGATACCACAAGCATCATCTTCGGGATCATCACCATCAATGCCTATACTGTAGAAATCCCGGCGATCAGATTCTTTTTGCCGATTCCACGTGTCAATTAAGCACTCTAGTAAGGAACCTCCGGACTCTAGAACTATGTTTTGAAATGGTTGATGCCGTTTACTTCCAGCATGGAGCTCAAATTTTGAAACTGGAAGGATTTTACTACAGCAACCACAGTGGACACCATCTTGTGTGATCCAACCTTCAAGTTTTACTCTAGTCCTTCTACGGTTCACATATTGAACCTTCTGTCTCAACTTCAATGTCCCGGAGTCAATCAACCAGGACAATAAGGTTCTTTTTCCAGTACATGGAACATAGCCATCACTATCTGTATTTCCCCTCTTGTCCGAACGACGGACCAGCAATGTACATCGCCCAATTAATTTACTTTTTCTTCCATGTATTGAATTAGAAGCAACTCCACCAGATGATTTTGCAACTGTATCCTGTTTAAGTCTCCTTACCTTCAAATTGTCACTTGAATTATCCCCACTCTCCCGGTCTATTGCATGTAATTTGCCTTGCAGCAACTTATCTTTTTTCTTTATATAGCTACTGAGCCTCTCCTCATGCTGAAGAGTGTCTGTGTCCAACGCAGACTCCCTCACAGAAGTCTTTTTACGATCTTCTCTCTTGCCATCATCTTTTCTCTTCTTTTTCATTTCTTTCTCAATCTTTTTCCGTGTTTGCCTGGTAAGTTTATTAATTAAATCATCTGATATTGGAGCATATGAACAAGAGCTGCCATCAGGTTTACTTTTACCTGAATCTACCTCAGATCGTTTTTGAAATGCCTCATAGGCCTTAATTATTGACCAATAGGATGTTCCACTAGGATTAGTGTACACTGCATCCAGATAGTCTCTATTCTTTCTTGGTCTATAATCAATGGTCCATCCAGCTTCAAGGAGCATTCCCCTTATTCGCTCTCGCAACTGCTGCTTCTCAGTGCTCCCACCTCGTTTCACTTTTCCGTCTTTGCTTTTAGCAGGAATAACATCTTCAGATGCTAAGGACCTGCTTTCTTCCTTTAGCACCCCCATTGCTGAGCTAGCAGGCACTGAACTAGGCGGTGCCAACTTAAGTGACGTATCAGTCTCATCTTTTTCAGAGGCTACTGAACGGATGATTTTACCCAACAAAGGTTTTTCCAGTTTCAGCTCATTTTTCTCTGTTTTAATAGACAAAGGTTGCTTTTCCGGGTGTTTAGAACCCGAGTAAAAGGACGGATGGACTAGTAAATTCCTCTTGACAACATCTGCCGACTGAGAACCTTTTCTATTTTCTATTTCCACAGGATCATAATCCTTGTGCATTAAGTCAATCTTCTTCTTCTTATTCAACATAACCTTTAATACCCCATTTTTCCCTTGCAATCTGATTGCTTCATGAGTGGCTTCTCTGGTCAACGAAATGGGCATACGCACTTCACCCTCTAACAAATCATACCTTCTCATAAAGCCATTGTCATCGCCCTTCATCCTACTACCTGAAAAACTACTTGAACTATCCATACATGAAAGCTTCCTCTTCTCAACCATCACACTCCCAGACCCACTCCCGAACTCTCTACAACTCCCTCTTCTTTCAATCATGTTCGATCTGACATCACTGTACCCATTCAATTGCCTTTTCACATCACATTCTTCGTACTTGTTTAAATCAAGCAAATCCGCATTCCTACCAAATTCTCCATCTCTAACACAACTTTTTCCATAAACAACAGAACCATTACGGAGTTTTTGACCATTTTTTCTCCGAATTGACTCTGATATCTCATCACCATACCCATCCAATTGCCTTTTCACATCACATTCTTCGTACTCGTTTAAATCAAGCAAAGCCGCATTCCTACCAAATTCTCCATCTCTAACACAACTTTTTCCATAAACAACAGAACCATTACGAAATTTTTGACCAGTTTTTCTCCGAATTGACTCCGATATCTCATCACTATACCCATTCAATTGCCTTTTCACATCACATTCTTCGTACTCGTTTAAATCAAGCAAAGCCGCATTCCTACCAAATTCTCCATCTCTAACACAACTTTTTCCATAAACAACAGAACCATTACGAAATTTTTGACCAGTTTTTCTCCGAATTGACTCCGATATCTCATCACTATACCCATTCAATTGCCTTTTCACATCACATTCTTCGTACTCATTAAGATCAAGCAAATTCACATTCCTACCAAATTCTCCATCTCTAACACCACTTTTTCCATAACCATTACTAAAAAATTGACCATTTTTCCTCCGAATTGACTCCGATAACTCATCATTCGACACGTGATCAGTCATGACAAACCTTGGCCTCTTCTTCACCATTTTGTCATCTTTCTTTTTAATAATTAAACAACCAGAAGAGCTTTTTTTCTTCAATACACCCCCTCCTGATCTCACACTATCCTCCATTTTAAACTAAATCTCACAATTACGACACAAAGTCACATTTAAACATTACCTAAATACTTCATAACTCCAAATTATACCTTCAGTTATTCAACGTTAGTAGATCTGAAGCATAACAAAAAAAATCCCAACTTTAGATACAAAGCGGCAGAAAATTTTCAATTTGGCGATTAATATATTCAGAATTGAGTGAATTGAACGAGAGAGAAAAAAAATCAGCGATCATTACCTGGCCGGAAAGTTTCGGCGATTTGTCAATTTCACCGGAAAAGTGATGAAATTGATCGATATAATTTTTTCCCGGCGAAAAAATCGAACCAGCAAATAGAAAAGGAGAAAAATTTTGGTTTGGTTTTCACTTTCTGGGTTTGGTTGTATATATGAACAAAAAAACACTTGCTGTTTTTTCCAAGTGTATTAGTAAAAAACAAAAAGGGTAAAAGTATACTATATATATATATATATATATATA